CACATACAAGGACCGGCTAGCTGAGGAAATACAACATAACAAACACTGGAGGAACAGCGATCAACTAAACCTAATACAACAAAATAAATAACCAAACACAATTAACAACATTCAAGGAAAAATGACTCTAATTGTTAATTTTTATTTTAATCTCATTAAAATAATAAAAGCAAAACGCTTACAAATCCTACATAAAAACCTCTACAATTGACTTTTACCTTACCGTTTAATGTCAAATATTCGTTTAAGTTAACGCTAACTAACGATTAAAAGTGATATTATTGGTAAAATTAAAGCCAAAGTAGCCTTAAAACACATAGTAGGCATGACTACAGCACTTATTTAATTTCATATTAACAACACGGTCTCAACCGCCGTTGTCTGCCGACCGTTGCTTAGCACTGTGCAGCCAACTTGGCTTGCCATGTGTGCAGGATAGCTAGCTATACAGTACAATTTGCAAACCTAACCTCAGTTCCCTAGTGGAGTAAGCGATTTCGCGTGACTTTACAACACCAATCATTCGGCTAAATTTGCTCAACTTACCGTTAATCAGTCCCTGAAATTCAGATCCGCTGCAGCGAACAAACAGTTGAAGTGCCGAGGAAGATGCTGCGTCTGCCTGGGAAAGTCCCCGCCAGTGAAAAATGGATAATGCCAACTTATAAAAATTGTAAAATATTTACGTTTGATGAACACACCTGCCACATCGACAGCTGCTCAAATAAATTGTGTATGTTAACTCACTTTTATAACATTTCTTGTACACAACAACCACATACAAATAACTACCCAAATAAATTGCAATAGTTTTATTTAAAATACATTGTTATATAAAATCTGATATATTTTAAGTAAAGAGGAAGTATATACTTTTAAGTATAAAACAAATAAAATAAACTAGATTACAACTATTTAAAGTATATAAAACCTACTTTGTAGGTGTAGCACTTTTTACAGTGTATTTGAATGTTAAACTATTATTTGTTAGGATTGTTAGGATTGTACTTTACACGCATTCGCATATAGACGGAACAGATCATCCTCTTCACATGAACCTTGGCATAATTGGCATAACAGCAGAGTGGACCGGTATACTACGGTCTATTTAAACTGACCAGTGTAACCTTTTATGTTTGGTTGACTGTATTTTATTTTGATAATGAACAGACTGCGATGCAAGTTTGAATTGCTAGAATATGTGGGGTGTGTGCGCGTGAGGCGCCGGCGCGATCGAACAGCTGAAACATAAAAAAACTTGTTTATGGAGCGCCGCGCCACACTTCTATCTGCTAGCTGCTAGCTTAATTATTTAAGTCAGATATAGTTCGTATATTTTTTTTAATGAAAACAAATTTTATTTTAGGTTTTAGGCCTATTACTTACATAGGCTATACATTTTCCTTAAAGCATCCCATTTTGTCCCAGGGCTTGAAAACCTGTGCCTAGGCTAGTCAGGTCCTGCGGAAACTTGTGAACGATGCTCTAGTTGTGGCATCACCATTTAGTGACAGCACTGAATGCTCCGGGAAAACGTATAGTCAGTGTCGGTCACAGATG